ATATATGAAGAAAATACTTCTTTGACATAATATTTTCTCTATATAACATAACATAGTTACAAGATATCTGGACATAGCTGTAACAACTATATATTTTTATCTTGTATTAAGCATTGTATTCATATTGTCACTTGATGGTGTGTGACTATAGATGGGGTTTGAGTTGGTAATCAGATTTACTTGACACTTTAACACAATTCCTGACTACACTTTACAGACCACTATCACACACAGACTGGTGTTTCTACTCACACAGTGATAATACATAGCAGTAATGTAAATTTACCTAAGACAATACACAGAATATTTATATTTATTACGTGTAATAAGAATTCTTGTGTGTCCAATTGAAAACTGTCTTTTCTGTGAATGTCCTTCTACATCAGTAAAACCCCACTAGTCTGGAATGTGAGGGGGAAGGTAGTCTAAATTTTGCAATAATTCAGATAGTGAAACTTAAGTTCAGCTGTTCTGTATTCTTTTTTACTGCCAGACATAGCTTGTTTTACTATGCCAAGGGCTTTCGCTATCTTACTAATAATAAGAAAATGAAATATAATATATTTGATTTCAGGTTTCCATAGCAGTGAGGATTCATGTTATTGTCTTCTAGATTGTGACATTATATAGTTTGGTAGGTGGGTACCAACTTTTCTGAGGAATATTTTGCCATCATTTTGACAGTATAACAATAAAAGAAAAATTGTTACTGCTTGCTTGGTTTAACCATTGAATTTGAAGTTGATGAAGTATGTTCCCTCCAAATGTCTGTAACTGTTAATTCTAAACCACACGGAATAACATCCCAGATTTTAGTATTCTTTGTAGAAAAATGTATACCAAGGGTTGGCCCAGTGGACACGGTAAATAGACACATTTATACGCAACAGATATCTTGGAAATGTTAACAAGGAACAAAGTATACTGTATTTTTACTCTTTATAATGTACTATCCCATTCAGGTACAGTTTGTTATCATAAATAATTCTCATTATGACATTCATAACTCATTACAGTACCGGCATGATATTAACCTCGTCTGTCAGATAAATTGAAAAGGCTAAACATTACAGGATTGTTCACATCTCAATTGTGACAACATGTAGTATTTTAGGTGGATTTAGGAGCATGCTACCGCCATCCTCAGTGTTGAACCAAGTATAGTGACAATGCAATCAGATTACACAGGAAGGATACAAAGCCAAGATTCATTCAGATCCATGGGAGAAGAGACGAACCTATTCCAGGACAATAGGAATAGTGGAAGGCAACTACAGGAGCAAAGTACAGCTCTTGCAGGGACCAATATACTTATGTCACAAGAAGGACATGGGACTGTGTGCATACTTAACAGTGTCATGACCCAGATGCCCACAGTCTGAACACCCATTGCCATGGAAAGCTAAAAACTTGTATGGTTGAATATCTGCAAATCACAATCATGAAAAAAGTGTTATCCACCTTCTACAGCCTTACTGATGGTACTCTGAATTTCAGGAGGGAAGTTCCCAAGTGAAGGTGTCTCTATGATGTGAGCTTGCTGCCTGGCTGCCATATCTGCTGCTCCAAGGCTCCTAGAACGTTTGAGACTGGAGAGGGGAGTTGACATTGGCAAATGAATGGATCTCAGTCCTGTTACAGTATGAACTTCAGCGTGTTCAATTACTTCTGTGCTGTGTGCCTGCAATCAGGAGAAAATATCATAAGAGAAAAAATAAATTTAAAAGTAAACCTGACTATTATTTTGTACAAAAACCATCATCTTCAGGCTTTTCAAACACATTCCAAAAGCTGGATCTGTTTCCATCATCTGGTGCAAGGGAAAAAATGTTCCTACTCAGATGGGTCCATTACAAAAACATCATATGCAGTGTTAACAGAGAATATAGTCTGTTAACATCAAGCATCAATAGTAGGAGCTCTCTGTAATGGGCCCAACTCAGAAGCACATTTTCTTCAAGAAGAAGAAGAAGAAGAGGAGGAGTAGGAGAAAATATCATAAGAGAAAAAATAAATTTAAAAGTAAACCTGACTATTATTTTGTACAAAAACCATCATCTTCAGGCTTTTCAAACACATTCCAAAAGCTGGATCTGTTTCTTTCATCTGGTGCAAGGGAAAAAATGTTCCTACTCAGATGGGTCCATTACAAAAACATCATATGCAGTGTTAACAGAGAATATAGTCTGTTAACATCAAGCATCAATAGTAGGAGCTCTCTGTAATGGGCCCAACTCAGAAGCACATTTTCTTCAAGAAGAAGAAGANGTGACTGGTGGTCAGTCTTGGTGTCGAGCCTCGTCTGGGACTCATGACCAGATATTTATTGTTTGACAGTTACAGTTTTGTTTATGTGGGGCGCTCTCTCTCACGAGAGGATGGGTCTGTCTTTTGTATATGCTGCTGGCCCTTGCCAGTGCAGCTATTCTCGGGTCCAAGTTCCTTGGGACGCGTGACCAAATTTACTGTATCAGATTTGAGACTTCCTTTTTCGTTGCCTCCTACGACTTGCAGGGTCATGGTGGAGGTATTCGACCCTGCCTCCACAAGGGCTCCTTATTCAAGTCAATGTCATATATGTACGGGGTTCCGAACGCCGTGTGCAAATCGCAGACTGGTGTGCGCCTTGGTAAATTGCCAAAGGTGCACCTTAAGCCAAAGTCAAAGTCACATTGTGACTGACGATCAATCAGTCAGTCAGTCAGTCAGTCAGTCAGTCAGTCAGTCAATAAGTCTTGGTGTCCAGCCCCAGACCAGATATTAATTATTACCATTTGACAGTTACGGTCTTATTTCCGTGGGGTACCCTCTCTAATGAGAGGACGGGTCTGTCTTTTGTATTTGCTGCTGACCCTTGGAAGCGCAGTCTTTCTCAGGTTCGAGTCCCTTGGGATTCCCAACCATATTTTACTGTCTCATATTTGAGACTTCCCTTTTCATCACCTCCTATGACTCGCAGGGTCTCGGTGGAGGTATTTAACCCCGCCTCCACATGGGGTAGGTGCACCTTAGTTATTCCAGTTTCTCTCATAAACTCTCAGTCAGACAGAGGAAAACGCACCTCGCTTCATTGTTGCGTAATCGCCGTGTTTACAGAGGCGGTGCTGGGCAATGCTGCCTAGAGATGTTTACTTATTTACTGCAATGCTGCGTAGCAACCAGCGTACTCTGGCTCAGCGAGGAACGGCACTGAGAACCATCACTTTCCTTACTGCTGCGTAACCTCGTTCCACTGTTCCACAACTTGGCAACCGACCATTTATCAAGAATCTGTCTTCGTGGTAACTCGTTCCACATCCCGTTACCCAACAATGGTTTGACATGTCACATTATTTTCAATAAGGCAGCTAAGTAATGATAATATGACAATTCAGTAATAAAGTTTCAATAGGGTAGCTAAAAGAAATATAATATTAAAATCCAATAATAAAATTTCAATAGGGTAACTAAATAAGATAATATGATAATTCAATAATTGTTTTGATAGGGCAGCTAATAAAGATAACATGATAATTCAATAACAAAGTTTCTAGTTAGTGTACCACCTAATGATGACCTGTGAGTTTAAAACATGTAGTGGTTTAAAAAAAACAGTCATTGCTGAGGTAGTGTCAACAGTTATTAAAGTGAATTTAATATTGTGGCGTATTTGCTCTATGCAGGAACTGTTGAGCCACAGAGGCCTCGGGACACGCGCGCAACGTGAGAGTTGCAGATTGTATTGGCACGTTCCTAGGCGACAACTCTGTGAACGCTTGGATTGCGCAACAGGAATTGCGAGGAACATCGCATATCCCCACTCATCCAGTCACTACGCAACATTCGGTAACCCCCTCACCCCGGCTAGGCTGTGAAGTCACGCAACAGTAGGACATCCATTGCTAGGCAATGTATGGGGTAGACATGCCTGACAACAATACCTGATATCAGTTGCCAAGAAACAATGTGTTTTCTATGTGGTCCGTGCCGAGCCTATGTAAGAAGCAGCAAACACTATTCAGACAGTTGACCGTGTGGAGGCGGGGTCAAATACCTCCACTGTGACCCTGCGAGTCGTAAGAGGCGACGAAAAGGGAAGTCTCAAATCTGAGACAGTAAAATATGGTCACGAGTCCCAAGGGACTCAGACCCAAGAAAGACCACTGGCAAGGGCCAGCAGCATATACAAAACACAGACCCCTCTTCTCGTCAGAGAGGGCGCCACACAAAATCAAGGCTGTAACTGTCAAAGAGTAATAAATATCTCGTCATGAGCCCCAGATTGACTGACCGTCAGTCGCAATGTGACTTTGACTTTAACTTGATTCAGACAGTTGCTGAGTTGTATCGAGTGAATGGAATAAAGACAGTTATAAGTGTCAGTTGAAATATAGAAGCCGCCAAAGACAGTTGAAGTCTGGAGGTGACTATTGCAGAAGAAGTAACTGGGACAATGAAAATGTGAACTATGTAAGTGTAAGAGAGAGTGTGCAATAAAGTCACTAGATCTAAACTGGTGTGAAGTTATTTGTCGCATCACATACAGCAACACGTGACAATATTTATTAATCTTCTAATAGATTTGTACATACTCAACATTAATTTTGAGTACCTATATATTATTTATCTTGCACAGGCACCCATTTGGAATAGCATTTTTATGTTTTCATGGACTGTATCAGAATGTGAAGGACCATAATACATATGCTTGGTACGAGTACCTGCAATTAATGGTACATAAATGTGACTGTTAAGTGGTTCTCTGCAATAGAGCTTCTTTGGAAATTTCTAGTTAACAGTTTCTAATAAAAAAGATTCTCCTTTGAATGCAGAGTTTTGCTGTGTACATAAATATCTATAATATGGAATTCATTTATCATCACAATTCCCTTTATTTGATTGTTACTATAAGACAACAAACCTACAAGTAAAGTAAAAAAGTAAAGCTATCCCCGTAACAGGCCGTGAAGGTCCATAGGGTTGTGAGACATTGAGGGTCCCACATTATCTAGACAATCGGCTGAAAGATGGCGGTAAGGTTGTCAGCCTTACGCACTGGCCAAGCTTTACTCCCTAGGAAAATTATTTAATTAATTCCTGGTACTCATTTCTGTTACAGGCTGAGTCGACCCCAGGGCCATAGTGAGGCCGGAAGGATTAGGTCAATTGAAAAAAAATCCTATGACCTCATCAGGACTTCAACCCGCGACCTTCCGGCTTGTAGCACCAATATTTATAGCCTGTAATGTTTAAGGTTGTTGTATTCTTTGTTTCACAACCATATTTATTTGAACACATAAAATCACCTATTTTGTATTTACAGCACTTATCAGCAAAATAACTTATAACTAACAAAATAAACATACTATCAAAATTATCACACTAATATAATCACAAAGGTAAGCCAAGTACCGGAAGATCCAGAAGTAATTTGAAAGACCAGTTTCAGAACTTCTTAACATAGTGATCTGTCTCCAGCACTGAGTCCTTGACTCACAAGATGATGTGTGTCATAAGATGTGAACTCCACAAGCAACTCCAAAAGGAAGATTCATTCTTCAGAAGCCAGTAGCCATGACATAAGAAATGAGTTCTCACTGTTTTATTGCAGACTAAGAGCATGTACTTTGGCTAATATAGGATATTATAGTGACATTTTATCTTTAGGTTATACCAATTGAAAAGCGTTCTGACAACGGTATATTGCCCTTAGCATTACTGAATTTCTGAAATATTGCGCATTGTTTAATATTCCAAACGAACAAAAACTTTCAGAAACTTTCCATCCTCACATTAAAGGGCAAGGAGGCACCTATTCCGTTAGATTCAGTCATCTGAGGTACAGCCCAGAAACCCAGTAATCCTAACTGTAATATAGAATACACTCCTGGAAAGAAAGCCACGACCTCAGAATAACACTGTGTGGCCATACTGATATCAGTCTAAGACAACTGATCTAAACAGACCATACTTACTACCTGAGTCTTATTAACATCATTGCTCAACCCAACAGCAGTCTTCATTTCTGTTGTGCTGTAAGACTTGAGTGGAGACTTCATGCTTGTAGGAAGTACAGCTTTCACTGGAGGAGTGACCATTTCTGAAATTTGCTGCTCAGCATCTCCTGTATCTAACTGGAAGTGAACCCTGGGACCCTGGAAGAGATAAAATTAAAGGATTTTTCATGTAAGAGACTAATGTGGGGAGAAAGGTGTAAAATACAATGATTAAAGAAATCTGTCTTTCCTCTCAATTCTCAAAATTTCTCATTTAATTTTGTATGGGACAGGTCAGCTTTGATTTATGCTGATGGCGTTAATTTATTGGATGAATCATATATTTCAGTAAGAACAAAATAGAAGTTGTATTGAGCACTAGGGAGGTTGATCTAGATGTAAACACAGAGAAAATTAACCATATATTGATGTCTTATCACCAGAATATAGGACAAAATCGTAATATCAAGGCAGCTAATAAAGTATCTAAGAATATAGGAATCTTTTTATATTTCAGAATGATGGTAACAGATCAAAGGTGCAGCCACAAGAAATTTTAAAGCAGATTAAATCTGGGGGAATGTTTGGTAACTTTCTTTTATCTTCCAATCTGTTGTCTAAAAATATACAGAAACGTAATTTTTTCTTTCAGTTTGGGTGAGAAAACCTGTGTGGATTATATGTATTTATAAACAGAGAGGAGGATAATATTAAAGTATCTTAAAAAACACATAATGAGGGTGTGTAATGGATGTGTCTGGTTCAGGAGAGGAACAAATTATTAACACAGTAATAAACCTTCAATCTTATTAAAGGATGGGGATAAAACTGAGATACCACAGAAATGAACAAAATTTAGTCTCTTGATATTCAAGCAGTATCCAGAATCCACTGAATTCTGTTGATGGTATTAACATTCTTCTGTCTGCCCAACATATTACCTGTAATATGTTCCCACTGGAACATGATTGCTGAAGTGTGTGTAACACATTTCCACTGGATTTGGAGTGTTGCAAAGGATGCATAATATTGCAAATCGATTTAGACTGCTGCAGAGCATGCTGAGCTGCACGAATTTGATGCGAATCTCGGTTGTTTAGTGTTCCAGGAATATTGACTGCTGACCTGCAGGAAAAAAAAATTGTTTTAGCTGGTGCTCAACATTTACATAAGGTGTCATTACCTGCAGGAAGCAATTTACACAAAACTGAAAACGTGATTTATTGCATTAACTACAAACCAAACAGACTGGAGTTGCAATAACGCTCCAGATTCGTATTGGGAAGATGCTCATTTCAAATCCAAACTGGGATACCAACTATCCTGAAAGAGGGTTTCAGTGGTTTTCCTGAGTCCCCTCAAGCAAATGCGAGGGTAGTATCTCAATTAGGTCATGACTGCTTCCTTCCAAATCCTTTTCAATCATCATTCATCTGTCATTCTGCCATTCAGACCATATGTTCCTCTGAAACGTCGGGTTCTCTTCACAGTACACAGCATTACAACACAGAAGACTGCCTCTTCATTGACAACACCATGAGAACTTGTCCTTCAAGTATCAGAACAGACAGTACTCTAAAACATTTTTACTATTTGTAATGATGCCATTTTTCACAATCAGTCATGTGAAAATGTAGTTAGTGACCCATATTTTAGACTTTCTCTGTCTCCATCATCAGGGGTTGATGTGACGAGTAACACAACAGCCCAGTGTATTAGTACACAGGATATGGACTCAGAGCTGAGCTCAAAACATCAAATACTACCTCAATTTTCAAATGGCTCTTTGCCCAAGATGATTTCATTGCATTAAGTTATTATAAAAGCTTCAAAATTTATATTTTTACTAATTTATTTTTCCATCACAAAATTTATGTTAACATTCTACAGAGTAAATGTGGAGATAATAGGTTCCTCTGAAATATTTGTATCTATCTACCAAATCTGCCAATCACAGTGGTCAAGAGGTCTAAGGCATGAACTGTCTTCGCCAGCCCAAATGCTGGGATCATGGATTCAAATCCCACTTAAGGCATGATGTGTGTGTGTGTGTGTGCGCGTTTATTCTGTGTTTGTGTTGTCCTGTGTGTAGGTAGCAGCCTTGTGACAGGCTGAGAACTCGTCCAAGGAGTCCTATCATCTGCGTAAAAAGATTACAAAATTGAAGAGGAGGCCAGGGCCAAAAAAAAGGGCTGTAGAGCCACTGATGAATGGACGAATGAATCTATAAAATGACATAGTATCACACCTCGAATGACCATAATCATAAAACTACCACTGTAATAAAGTGGTCTAACATAAAATTTGGTTTTATCCAAACCCAATATCTTGAAACTTCTTTATGTTAATGAGGCACATAATAAACACACATTTTATTTACCTGGATGTACTCAAATCTCCTTGTTTCATTGTAAACTCCTTGGCATGAACATTGAGGCGAGGATTTGAGTTTGTAGAAAGTCCATTTTGCAGCAAGTCGGTACGGACATCTGTAAAGTAAATCAAATATACACAAACCATAAATAATCATATTAGCAACTAAATTTGATCATTTCATATAAGAAACATACTTCTGGTTATGTAACTAAAATAATATGCTGGATTTGAGGTTGTGTGACAGGAAATATAAAGAGCTCAGTCTTCTGTTCTGTTAACATCATGTGGTTCCAAGAGAGTAACGTGCAGCTTTCATCTTCAGGGCGAAAGGGTGAACCATGCAAGGAGCAGCATAAGCTGGTGAGCAGTTCAACATTTGGCTCTCTCCAACTACATTGTGGTAAAATTCAAAAGACTGTGCTCTTCAAGTATAAGTATTCTGAAGGCCAAAAGACATCATCTGACATATTCTGATGGCCATAAAATGTCACTGAAACCAGCTTCATGGAGCATTCTATCTTCAGAAGCAAATAGCTGCTCAGCTCATCAGGAAATTCTTAATATTTCATGAAACCTGAAGGTCCATTACCTTATTCACAAGATCCCAGAAGCCAAACATCTCCTCCTCCCCCATATTTTTGAAAACACAAAAATCAGAAATAAAATATACATACAACATTATGGAGCCAGGACAGAGCAGTCGGTATAGCAACTGCCTACAGGCTGGACGGCTGAGGTGTCGGAGTTTGAGTCCCGGTAGTGTCAAGAATTTTCTCTTCTTCATGTCATCTACGCCAGCTCTGGGGACCATCCAGCCTCCTATCCAATGGGTTCTTGGGGGGGGGGCTCTATTCCTGGGGGTAAAGTGGCAGTGGCATGATACTGACCACCCATCTCCAATAAATGACGAGGTCAAGAGAACATGGATCTATGCATCCACTACCCTTGCTCTTGCAACTTCACGTTTCCTAAAAGGCATAGAATTTCTAGATCATCTGGGCGACTATTAGTTTCTGAAAAACACTTCTACATATTTAAAAACAGAGTTGTCCTTGTGTTAAATTAAGCACCACGCCATTCTGATGTATTGGGGAGCAGAGGTGCTCCTCTTACCCTCGGCACTAAACAGAGACGAATGATCCCCTTCATGCCCCAGCCACTTTACCCCTGGAGAAAGGGACTCCGCTACGAACTGGATGAAACTACTTAGTTTTTACCATATTCTGCGCTCTAAACGATGGAGCACGCAGTAGCGTAGGTGGTGGCGGCATTAAGCTACAAACTGAAAAGTCGCGGATTCGAGTCCCGATTAGGTCTTTTTTTTTTAATTTACCTAACCCTTCCAGCCGCACTATGATCCTGGGGTCGACTTAGTCTCTAACAGAAATGAGTATGAGGAATCTTCCTGTGGGGTATAGAGCGGCCGGCGCGTAAGGCCGACGACTTTACAGCCATCTGTGGGGCGACTGTCTAGAAAACGTGAGAGCCTCGACGTCTCACAACCCTATGGGCCTCCACGGCCCGTTACAGGGATAGCTTTCCTTTACTTTACTTTACTTTACTTTACTTTTCTTTACCCGCGTTCTAAACGATATATATTTGTTAGCAATTTATACAGAAATTGCAGAGGACGAAATATTTTGGTCCGAAACTGTAAAACTTACATAGGCGCGGATTTCAAAAGCGCAGTTCTTTTGATAGTACTATGTCTTCTCTCCTTACATTTAGAAAAACTGTGACAAAATGTCGCTGGGCATGTGAATGCGATGTATTTACATATTTTAAGAGTATGGATCATATAATAAGTCTTATGATATTATTCGCACTCGATCTGTTGGAGTACTATTCTTAACAGTAATATCAAACGTTGTCACTAAGCAACCAAAATCCTTAACGAATAACTTCCAGGATTCTGTCTCCATATGCTTAGTCGCAGGTTCTTTCTTGGACAACTTAACCTCAAACACGAACTTAAATGACCAGAATTACGACAGTGTATAATTTAAACAAGAAGTTACTTGCAGAAGATAATGGAATACAAAGTTATATCTAATATTTCCTACACAGCGTACATTACACAACAGAGACCATAAAGTCCACAATTCTTCAAGCCCCGACTAACAGTATGTCCAACTGAGTCTCTACAAGCATAGGACTTCTGGAATCTACAGGAAGACTGTTGTAGTTCGCGAACTTACTGGGTGGACGGTAGATCTCCATTGTTGGTTTACCTCTGTTAGACGGCATCGCGTTGTTGCGACGCCTGCTGCCAGTTTCCCGTACCTGCAGAGAAGACACACCAAGGTCAAATAAATCCATATACCATTATTATTTCAAATACAGCCAGTCTTAATCAGAAGTTAAAATAGCTGAAACAAAGTTTATAACATTGTTTTAATTAAATATAAACTATGCAAGCAATCATAAAATTCATAGACTCGCATAATTACTGAAGATGGTTCCGTATCTTTGATCTATGTCAGCTGTGAACCGAGGTAAAAACAAAAGGTATATTTGACCTTTCGTTGTTTAGCAATAAATGTTTTTTTCGGTTGTTAGAGAAACTAATTCATCAGGATGTGCGACCGGAATTGTTTTGGTTAGGTCACGGTAGTGTTTAATTAGCAACACAAATCAATTAATGCCCCCAAGAAATTGGACATAATCAGTATATCTGTCATTCCCCATCTCTGGATATGTTCACAGAAGATAAAATATGGAATCAAGATGGAGGACTAAACAACACATGGAACCAATTGAGTTACATTCACACCTACGCAAGAGTCTGTTCTCAGCTAATGACTGGCTGGCTGGCCTCACACACAAGAGGCTTCCTATCCCGCATTCATTCATTGCTACTAAGAGAGCAATTGTCGTCCTAACCACACAGACCTAGTATCACATGGTGATCCTGGTGGGAGGTATTCTGTGCCCTCAGGTCAACTGTGAGACCCCCTTCAGCTCCCGGGGGTTAACATACTGTAATAAGGTAAAAATGTCCGTGTGTTCAACTAACTGAGCTATAAGAGGGAGTGGATATACATGTAAATCCACATATTCTTGGCCAGCTTCACGCCCCGGCCACTTCACCCCCGGCGAAAGAACCCTCAGTACACATTGGATAGGAGGCTGTGTGGACCTCAGAACCGGTCTGGACGACGTGGAGGGAAGAAAATCTTACCCCTACCGGGAATCTAACTCCAACCCCTAGGCCGTCCAGCCTGCGCTATCCCGGCTCCCAATATTTCGCAATCGCATTAATTCATTTTTAGGTGTCCATTATTGGTGAGCTGTTAAGCTGTGGAGAAAGAATAAACGTTTCCTATTTCATCACAGACTCTATGTAATCACTTTAAGATAAAATCTTGAGCCTCAACGAGATTTTTGAAGTAAGACAATTATAGCAAGAAAACAAAATTGCATGCACATAGCAGTTAAAAAAATTAATTTGGGGACTGCCTGCTGCCTCTTCCGATCGGACTTTTTAATTTCCCCATCCCTTACGTATATCATCAAATTTAAATTTTACAAAATTATCACATTTTGTGTTACATAGTGAGAGAAGAACACTAAAGGTCTTTCAGCACAGGGTCTTAAGAAGAACATCTGTACCTAAGAAAGAGAGTGTGAGAGAGAGAGAAAGGAAATGACAGGAGGATGGAGAAAACTACATAATTACGGGCCACATAATTTCTACTCCTCGCCAAATATCAGGATGACCAAATCAAGAAATAGGAAATATGATAGAGTTCAAACGTACCGATCGAGCAAGCTGGTGTGCAGTAACTCTCTAGACTTATACTCTGCAGATGCCTGGTTCGAAAGTCGGTCGGGACACCGGCTATCCTGACCGATAATTTTCTTGGTTTTTCTCATTTCTTCCAGGAATACGCTCGGGTAGGATATCGATTATGTCATTCCAATTCATTATGCATCAATCATCCTACCATTCGACACTACACACTCTTGAAATGTATCAGGCATGAGGGATATGAAAAATTAATCCAAATTTTACTCGAAAGCCTAAATGGGAGAGAGCTGAGAGAGGTGGGAATTGATAGTATAATATATAAAAGGATTTTACGGAATGATAAGTTAAAGTGTGGACTTGGTAAAAATTAAGGTTACGTTCAATGGTCCTTGGGGACACTGTAATAAAGCTTCAGACTCCGTAAACTGTACGATACATTTGCACAGATGAAAGAATATCAGCTTCTCCAGAAGCACCTCTGCTAAAAATTGCATGCGTTTCATGTTAGCAATAAACTGTACTTTTTTTTTTTTCCTTGGCACTACAGCCCCAGTGGGCCTAGGCCTACCTCCATGAACTTCTCCGTTCACTTCGGTTTTTCTAGATCTTACACATTCGGTAGGAGTTCTTGGGCGAGTGATCAGCCCGTCGCAAGGCCTCTACCTGTAGACAAACACATAAAAACGCAGACAAACAATCATGCCCTGAGTGAGATTTGAACCCACGATCCCGGCTTCCGTAGACAGTACACGCCTTAGACCACTCGGCTACCTTGACCAACATACACTCTACTTACTTAATAAGAAATACAAATTAACTACAAATGATTATCATTTAAAGAGAATAACGATGATAAACCACAGAAGTGTCTGTAATAACCGTATAATTAATCTTCTCCATGAATGAGGTTACGTCATAACATGTGCAGGCAACCTTCTGAAAGAAAAGTTCACTGGCGTATGAATATCGACGTACGTTGGAAACAGCATCTATTAACTTTCTAATTATGTCGTAACAGTCTACGTCACTAACTGACGTACCCTCGTTCCCATAATAGATGGAGTATAGATAATGCCTGCATCAAAATGATTTTGAATGTACGACGTCAAGGAAATGCACGGTTGATCCCACAGCTGTGGCACGTTCCACCCTGTGTTTCCGGATAATTATCTCAGGCCTGGTCCATACGCCCATAGCCCCTCTTCTGTTTCCTGCGAGGAGATCCCAGCAACTGCCGACAGATAGCGTCAGCTACAGTCCAAATTTCCCCCAACAATGACAACAAACGACAAAGCAGGATGGTGTAGATGTAATGCTCTAGCCCTGTATTCGTGAGGTGCTCTGTTCGAATCTCGGCCTGGACACGGCCTATATTGAGATATTTCGCTGTTACTCGGTCCCTCAACTAGGCCAAGTCTACTTCCTTCGAAATCATTTCCATTTCATCATATCCTACCATCCTACGCTGCACAGTCTAAATACAGGCTTCGCAGTAGATGGACTTGAAGGCAGGAAAGCAAGTTAAAAATTCACTTCCGTGAATTAGATACAGAATTCTTAACGCTAAAGCAAGTGGTACATGTAGTAACAACTCTGCTTTAGAACTGATATTCATTCAACAGTCAACATGTGCCTTTAATAAACGGACATCAATTCCAAATAGAATCACAAAATGGCAACGAACGCATTTTAAAGATGTGTACCACATATGATATGAAATTGTTCCACACTTATTTCGCAACTTTGTATGCTTGCCGCACATCTGTTGCGATTCAGGGCACAGAAATAAGACAGAAGATAACCCGACGTCAGTAACTCTTCTCTCATTAAGAAGCCAGCCAATCAAGTAATTGAAATATAAGGCGCAAATAATTGCTACTTAGAGAATGGCTCATTTATCTTCTTCTCTTAAGATTCCTGCTAGTAGTCAATAAATCCGCGGATATTTTTCTACCGAAGGATTTTAATTTCGAAGAAATACTGAATCAGTAACATTGATACGTCCAAAGAAGTGTTCAGTTGCTTTAATGGTGCGACATACTGAATTGGAACTTCCGATAGTATACTATATACGAAACTCATTGCAGATTAACGGCTCAAAATGGACCAAAAGAATTTATTTTAATTGTGTTTCGCAATCTAAACTAGTCAGAAAAAACTTCACTTCAAAGAAACGAATTCAGGTCGATTACGCTATGTTTTACGCAATTCACTAGACTTTCCTTTGATTTCAAGCTTCGAAGAAAACAAGTCTAAAAACACTAGAACCTTTGTGTCTATAGAATTTTAAGTTATTTTCTCAGTCCAATTCATCATTCCTAAACCTTTGGTAATATTAAGTAAGGTAGACGTAAAACAGGTCGCAGTAGCCGCGCGGTCGAAGGCATGAAATATCTTCGCTCGCTCGGACGCTGGGATCGTGGGTTCGAATCGCACTTAAGGCATTGATGTTTGGTGTGTATATGTGTTTATTCCGTGTTTGTGTTGTCCTGTGTTTAGGCAGAGGCCTTGCGACGAGCTGCTCACTCGTCCACAGTAACTGTTGATTAACGCACTGGAAGGGATTCAGAAGGACGCAACACTAGCCCCATATCTGCCCTGTCCCAGAAGTTGTCTGAAATGGCAAGAAAGTTTAGGATAAGCGGCGTCCTGGACAAGAGTCGAACCGAGTACCTCTCGTGTGCAGGTGTAGAGCGTTATCGCTACACGATTCTGCTCAGTCCTGTGTTGCAGTTACGCACCACGCCATCAAGAAATATGTGGGAATGGAGGTAAAGCTCCACCCATTCTTAACCACGACATTAAATGGAGGTGAGTGATCAAGAGGGCCCGGATTTTGATGACGTGTCGTCTTTTTTCCCTTGTATCCTATTTGATGCCCGAAAATATATAAATCCCGGAGATAAGCTGCTGCTTAGAGAAATGTAAATTTTATACGTCATTTATTGTCATTTTTCGTCATTTTTAAGTTTTTTGGTAATTTTTTCGGTTTGGGGGTAATTTTTCAGTAAATTTTTGGATTTTTAAGAGTATTGTTGTCATTTTAGCCATTTTAGGAATTTTTTCTTCAAATGTTTTCAGAAATGTGAATAATACGTAAGTAAAGTGTTCTTTCTCTTTCTCCTGCCTCTACAAAGGCAGCCTGCAGCTGCACTCCAAATACCTGCTACCACAATATGGAATAATAAGTTGTAATACTGTCCCGTCCTTTCCGTTCGTATTGCGGAAAGTGCTGACATTACATATCATAAAACATTTTAAGCTGGCAGCAGGGTACGACAGCGGTCACTCACACTGCGGCCCTTTCCAAGTTCTGTGCAAATAAATTTGCTTAGTTACAAATATTTCTAGTCGGAATCCCTCGCTTTTTATGACGTACTGTTGCGCAATAAAACTCCGTCTGTCTTCAGTTTCTCACCCTTGACAGTACAGACAAAGATACAGTTGACGAAAGGTTCTAAGTGTGAAAAGTTCAGTTCTACGTTGCACTAGAGTGATCCATGTCATCGCGATGCCTAAAGCAAAGCCATCTAAATCGTGTCATTTAAAGCAGACTGTAGCTGAATTTGGAGATGATATATTTCCAACTGACGATAACATTATATACTGTAAGATGTGTGACACAAAGTTAGCGACAGAGAAATGTTTCACGGTACAACATAGCGGCAGCAACAACATATACGAGCAGTACAAATTTGGAACAAAAAGAAATCTGTGCAAATGTTACTGCAACAGTGTTCATCTGAAGGCGGAAATACGTCATCGGATTTTTTCACATATCTATGTGATGTAGCTGCTTTTACCGGTTATCACGGTCTCTTCGCTTGCAGATATCTTATATTTTTTCTTCTACCCTGAAGATGGAGGCGATACGTTCCTCCGAAACGTCGGTTAACACCACATATACACGGTGCCAAATCCCAGAAGACTGCTTTCTTCATATACACATTTGATAAGCGTTCCAACACGGTAGAAAAACATTTAGCTTCAAATTCAATCATATATTGCTTAATTTTCAACATAAAAAAAACGAGGACGAATTTAAAGGGTAATTTTGAGTTCACAGTGTCAATAAAGATTAGAAATACATTTTAAAACAATTAGATTTTCCATGACATGATACATTTTTAGGCCGCTTTTTAACTTTTAGATAATTTTTCTGGATTTTAGGTCATTTTATAGGTCATTTTAACATATATTTAGGTCATCAAAATCCGGACCCTGGTGATCAGCTTCATTTCCCAGACGCTCTACTTCCGGTGAAAAGCCCCCGTACCACTGCAGAGGATAAGTGGGCTCCAGAGCAGATCTTAACGCTTTGGAGAACAGAAATATCACTTTCCCCTGCCGGGAATCGAACCGCGATGTAAGTTGATTCAGACGCTAATGATTCTAATAAGCAGACGTTATGTGCCTCATTCGAATCTCGCCTGAGATGTCTAATATCATGACTGAGGTTATTCGTTGTTTTCCTCAGTCCCTCCATGCAAATGTCAGGATAGTAACTAGATTAGGACAGGACCGTTTCCTTCCAAATCCTTCTCACTTCACAATTCACCTATCATTCTATTATCCGATGCTATACGCATACGTATAACCTCGACATTGACAGCGTCTTAAAATAACCTACAAAATAGACGATATTTTACGGAATTTTATCAGCGGCCCTTGAACGTCTGAACTAGGCACATTCATTAATTCGGGACAGCTTCAGGCGACAATGTAGGGCACAGAGCACTACTTGCGAGACTGTCCCCACTCTCTCGTAGGATTGGTGGTTAAAGGCTTAATGATTAAGCCTACTGGTTACGTAAATGAGGGAACGAATATTACATACGTTGTGTTACTGTGAGAGAGCTTGCAGTCTGCTCTCTCTGGTGCTAGAAATCTCCAGAGCGATTTGTGGCGCCCTTTAACGACCTGTTGTGAAACGAGAACCATAATTATTTATACATAAACCAAACGCGTTGATAACAAGACACCAACATGGCGAACTGCGATGACAGTGGTGGCCAATTAGTTGCTATTGAGTCGGCACTGTTGCTAGTTGTATCAGGTCTTGTTGCAGCTTTCGTCATTTTAACTGTTAACGGGTGAGTAAATAAATTGTGTCATCAGCATAAGTGGATCCACTTTTAACTGCAAATCTATTACAATTCCTTATAATCAGAATATAGGACAGAAGATAACCCAGTGTCAACTAAAACTGATGTTCACGGTTTCAAATTTAGCTCTTTAAAGCACAGCTGCAACTATATATACCGTTTGAATTAACATTAACATTTTGCACTTCACCCACGCGGTGTATTCAGGAGTTCCATATTCTCACAATAAAGGCTCCTATTTCCCTAAACAACACTAAACTATTTCGCTTTAATGGGTACAACTTTTTTATGAAGTAAGAATTGCTTTTTATACATCATTTAGATAAATTTCAGGCTTCCACTCAAATGTTTTATAGAAGTCAAACATAGGTATGATATTCAAATTTTTATGTATTGTTTGCTTACATTATCTTCGAAATTAGTTCATGTAAACTGGTATTGAAAAAAATGATTTTAACGGATTATCTCCCATCATGTTAGCAACTTCCATTTTAGGCACAAATATTATGTTCTTGGACATTATTCATCGTCTTGTCTTTATCAGAAAACCGTCCTCTTTGTTTTTCAAAACATAGCGTTTTAGAGACTGGATTCTGTCTCCGTCTTCTGGTAAAACCTAATCAATCGGGGGCTGATTTTAGATAAAGACAAGTAAAGTAAAGTAAAAGTAAAGCTATCCCTGTGGAGTAGAGTATCTGTAGTATCCCTGTAGTATCTAGAGTCTAGATAATGTGGGACCCTCAACATCTCACAACCCTATGGGCCTTCAGGGCCTGGTACAGGGATAGCTTTACTAGCCGATTGTCTAGATTCTAGACAATCGGCTCAAAGATGGCGGTAAGGTTGTCAGCCTTACGCGCCGGCGTAATTTAAATTAATTCCTGGTACTCATTTCTGTTAGAGGCTGAGTAAACCCCAGGGCCTAGTGCGGCTGGAAGAATTAGGTCAACTGAAAAAAAAATCCAATGACCTCATCGGGATTTGAAACCGCGACCTTCCGGCTTGTAGCGTAGCACCTCAACCACTACGCTACCGCGTGCCCCCAGATAAAGACAAGACGATGAGTAATGTCCAAAAACAATATATGTACTAATGTACCATCTTCACAAACTTTTACATCTTATTCCATTTTATGCATTTCAAAATATTGTCACGTGTTTGGAATCCGGAAGGGTTACTTCCATGGAAACGCAATAACAGATCGTTGCGTAGGAAGTAACAATAGCAGTATCGTAATTCTAACAATGATTCGCCACGGTTACAACGAATTCTTAGAAGCATTGCGTGACAACGAGAAAACTGAACTGTGGGAAATGGTGTCTGGTATCCGGTCCGAACAACGCCTATATAAGGGGGCCGAACGTATCAGATATTCCAGACCGCGCTGGAGTGTTTTTATTGTTAGAAAACTCCAGCGCGGTCTCAGCTCAATGGAGACCTGGTGTGAGCGCTGGAATATTAAAATTAATGAAGATAAGACTCAGGGGGTCTACTTCTCTCGTAGTCGTCGACCTCCTGAGTCTTGTCTCACTCTAAATGGACGAAATATTCCATTTGTAAATAGTGCAAAATATCTAGGTGTAATCTTCGATAGGAGAGTGACATGGAGATTACACATGGAAATGATCGAAGTCAAGGCCTTCAGAACATTCATTAGAGTATATTCCCTGTTCAAAAGTGAGCGACTGAGCGCTAACATTAAAATGACCCTCCACAAAGCTCTTATTAAATCCGTAATGACTTATGCTAGTCCCGCCTGGGAGTTTGCGGCAGACACTCATCTAGTGAAATTGCAGCGCCTGCAAAACAAGGTTCTCCGCACGATTGGCAATTTTCCAAGGCGCACACCGGTCCGCGATTTGCACACGACATTCAAAATCCTGTACGTATATGACTATATAACAAAATTATGCAGGAAACAAGCAGAAGTCATACAAAATCATGAAAATGAGAATGTTCGCAACATCGGACAAGGCGAAGCCAGACACAGAAAGTATAAGAGGCTTAAACTTGGCGGCGGTCAGGCATACGACCGTTCAAGTGACTAGACTGCCGTGGTAGCGAATACTACTAGAAATAGGACATAATATGCTGTACTGAGCCTGGACTAACAGAGGCCTTGTATATATTGTACAAAGAAATAGGAATTAAGATTAAATTTGTAAATATATGTAAATACTGACAATGGACTAACAATACGGACTATGACTGACAAATGACAGTCCCGACCTCTCGACATAGAGGGCGCCCCAAATGGACAGGACAGCAACTTTCATGTAATGAAAACAAAAAACAAAAAGAAAAAAATCTGGTCATGAGCCCCAGCCGGGACAGACAGACTGGCTCACTATCAGTCTCAATGTGACTTGAACTTGGAGATATTCCAGAGTTAGAAGACCAGAGATGGAAGAGACAGTTGGAAGATAGCCGCCGCAGAATGCAGTTGAAGCGATACTAATTGTACTTGTGTGTGTAAAAGTGAGCGTTCAATAAATATTCGCTAAATCCGAGACCCACGTGAAGTTATTTTTCGCGCTGCATAGGCAACACGCGAGAATATGTTTATGGTTCGTAGTTGAGTTGAGTGTCTCCATACTGAAAGACAGACGGTGCGACACGTAAAAGCAATTCTAACTTTAGATTTTAATATGTGATACAGATCTCTCTTTTCAATTTCGATTTCTTCAAATAATCCGGGAGGTACACCCAAAGCTTCCCCCCCTTTCGGCGCCCATGCCCTGAAGTAAATGTGTACCTAACCTCGTAACTGTAGATTTTGTGATTGCTCAGAAATGCGAAACTGAACTTGATAAAAATTCACACTCCAAAGATGCGGCTTACGACCTCGGTTTAATGTCGTGTAATTGAATACCATAAAGGTTATACAGCACAGATATTAAACGTTTACATTCATGCCGGAAGTTCGTCTGAAAGTTTCCGGGAAATTCTTCGGCCTGTCGGAAGAGGGGAACAGGCTACTCGCTTCATCTCTTCCTGCGCTCGTTTGGACTAGTGAGGTAGCCGACAGGACATTAGATCAACAAATGGCAGACAGAGCAGCCTTAAGTAATGGAATATAGCGAAAATAGCCCCTATTGTTGTGCCGGTACGCCTTGCGCCTGCCTACTCCTACCATGTTCACATTCACTCGTTGAAGTTCATCCTCGGAAACATGTCAAACTTGAAACTTTAAATCTGAGACTTTAAGTGATGTTAGGGGGGAATGTTTCAGCCAGTTTCTCTTCTGTGAGCAATCAACGTTTTGATTCGTTCTTTTTTAGACCAGCAACGACCATGCCAGTCTAAATGCATTTAGATATTGATATGTTGGGTTTTTTGGACTTTATCCATCGTCCTGGTTTTTGAGATAACAAAATAAAAACACGACGTTTCGGAAACTGGATCACTGGTCCAGTGATTGAGGCTAGCTCTTTCTAACGGACCCAACTGAATAGGTGTTTTCCTTCACCTGAGGGCGGAAACAGATCCAGTTTCCGAAACGTCGTGTTTTTATTTTGTTATCTCAAAAACCAGGACGATGGATAAAGTCCAAAAACCCAACATATCAGTGTGTTATACACCATCGTCAGAATCCTATAGTAACTGCATTTAGATATGTACGGACAGATTTTATATTTGGAAATGTAACATCCTGAAATTTATTTCGGGATTTTCTCATTCTTCACACGCGTATAGCAAAACAAAAATTACTTTCAATTTTAATATCACATGTCGACACAAGAAATACAATGTCTGATTGAATGTGTATTAAAGTAAGAGGGGCTAGGGATTACAGCCGAAGGACACATAAGACACAAGCTCGCTTCATGGTAGCTACTCAAAAATGTATTTTAATTATATTGACTACAAAATGTAATGCTGCTTAGGAGCTACTGGCTGGCCTGTCGTCTACGCTACGATTCGGAACACGCGAAATGCGAGATGAGTGCAGTTTATGTCCCCCTCACCTGACCGGCCGAAGGATTTGCATGAGGCTCTCAAATGACTTCTTTACACCTTGGATAAAAGTTTAAGAAAGGACGCTAGAAATGAGTAATGCTCATAAGTTACACTGAAATGTTACAGATCGCCAGCAATGGATGGGAGGACGGAAACAATCCATGTTAAAAGACCACAGGATCACAGGGTACCAAAACTGGACACGGGAAAACTGATTATCGACACAGACGCTGGTGTAGATGATGCTGTAGCATTGTTCCTTGCTCTCGGATATGAAGCGAGGCAGCTGAACAGCAATGTCCGAATCATGGCCATCACTTGCGTGTTTGGCAACACCGACGTCAATAACGTGGCCCTAAACGTGCTCAAAGTGCTCAAGACAGCAAACAGGTTGGATGTATGTAGGATCTGAGGTTCTCACAGCGGTGGTTATGAAGAGTGCTATCTTCTGGGATATAGCGCTGTGTAGGATCTGAGGTTCTCACAGCGGTGGTTATGAAGAGTTCTGTCTTCTGGTATATAGCGCTGTGTAGGATCTGAGGTTCTCACAGCGGTGGTTATGAAGAGTTCTGTCTTCTGGTATATAACGCCGTGTAGTCCGTTGAGAGTCAACCGACTGGAGATGGATGCGAAATTTTCCTCCGAAACTTTGGCTGACTCTCAACGGACTACATGATGCTATATCCAAGAAGGTGGAACTCATCACGTTGGTTGTATGTTTTTATTTTCGGAACCAGACTCTCAGTCAATTAATAGCCTTTAGTTTCATCTGTATCTGGATTGCTACAAGAGACCAGTGGCGAGCTCTTGTGAGTATGATAATAATCTCCGTGTTTCATGTAAGCCGGGAAATTTCTTGATTAGTTGAACGAATGTTGGCATCTCAGAAACGAATCTGCTTCACGAAGTTGTTATTCTTTGAGCAAAGGTCACGGTATTTTTTTGTTGTTGTTAGGATTCAGGCGTTATTCAGCTGCCCTTGACAACGCCATTTGGTTTAATCGCCGAAAATTGTAAACTCCATAAACGTGATATACATTTGTATTTACGTCACAGAACTTCATTTGAGGCTGTACTTACAAATTATGATGATCTAAAATGGCGCATTTAAAGCAAAAACGCAAATAAACGGTCGTCTATGCTGTACACATTCAGCACTGGAAGTTCGTGTCTGTAGCAAAAATATCTTGCATTACGTCAAGCTGTTTTATATGAGTCCTATCAAATTTGAAAATAAAAGTTAGTGCCCATCTACAAAAAAAAAACGGTGTTATAAATGAGAAGACAAAAATACGAATCTTCACAGCCGTGGAAAAAAAAATTCAATCAATCTAACATATTCGCCCTTATTAGTTTTGGTATATGCACGATAGTATACGTTTTACCGGTCTTAAAGATAGAAGCAGCATATTCCTCCGAAACACTGGTATAAACTCACAAGGCAACACAGTGTCAGAACCCAGGATACCACATTCCTACGAACGACAGTAACGTTTGTGGGTTAATTCATGACGCTGTCAGTATCAAGACTGTATTGAGTCGAATAATAAGATGAATGATAATATTGGAAATATTTCGAATAAAGAGTCGTGGCCTAATGGAGGCACTCTCCCAGCATATTATGTGGAAGGACTGGGGAAAATCACAGAGAGCTGATGTCCCAATTAGGATTTGAACCGAATGCCTACCGAATGAGACTAGACCGTGACTGCTGCACTAACCTCCTCGGTAGGACAATCGTCAACTGCTCAATATTGTGACATCAAAGTTATGTGAAAATTTCCACGGTTAATATATACGGAGAATAATTTTACATCGATCCAGTTGCAATCTGCTTTCCTACCAGACCGGACATAATACACATAAATCGAAACACCCGTCAAATAATACCAAACCAGATAATACTGCACGCGTACCTACGGGCCTCCAAGCTCTTAACCGCTTCACACGTGTCTACAAGCAAGATAATCCTGCACGCGTACCTATGGCCTCCAAGCTCTTACCCGCTTCACACGTGTCTACAAGCAAGATAATCCTGCACGCGTACCTATGGCCTCCAAGCTCTTACCCGCTTCACACGTGTCTACAAGCAAGATAATCCTGCACGCGTACCTATGGCCTCCAAGCTCTTACCCGCTTCACACGTGTCTACAAGCAAGATAATCCTGCACGCGTACCTATGGCCTCCAAGCTCTTACCCGCTTCACACGTGTCTACAAGCAAGATAATCCTGCACGCGTACCTATGGCCTCCAAGCTCTTACCCGCTTCACACGTGTCTACAAGCAAGATAATCCTGCACGCGTACCTATGGCCTCCAAGCTCTTACCCGCTTCACACGTGTCTACAAGCAAGATAATCCTGCACGCGTACCTATGGCCTCCAAGCTCTTACCCGCTTCACACGTGTCTACAAGCAAGATAATCCTGCACGCGTACCTATGGCCTCCAAGCTCTTACCCGCTTCACACGTGTCTACAAGCAAGATAATCCTGCACGCGTACCTATGGCCTCCAAGCTCTTACCCGCTTCACACGTGTCTACAAGCAAGATAATCCTGCACGCGTACCTATGGCCTCCAAGCTCTTACCCGCTTCACACGTGTCTACAAGCAAGATAATCCTGCACGCGTACCTATGGCCTCCAAGCTCTTACCCGCTTCACACGTGTCTACAAGCAAGATAATCCTGCACGCGTACCTATGGCCTCCAAGCTCTTACCCGCTTCACACGTGTCTACAAGCAAGATAATCCTGCACGCGTACCTATGGCCTCCAAGCTCTTACCCGCTTCACACGTGTCTACAAGCAAGATAATCCTGCACGCGTACCTATGGCCTCCAAGCTCTTACCCGCTTCACACGTGTCTACAAGCAAGATAATCCTGCACGCGTACCTATGGCCTCCAAGCTCTTACCCGCTTCACACGTGTCTACAAGCAAGATAATCCTGCACGCGTACCTATGGCCTCCAAGCTCTTACCCGCTTCACACGTGTCTACAAGCAAGATAATCCTGCACGCGTACCTATGGCCTCCAAGCTCTTACCCGCTTCACACGTGTCTACAAGCAAGATAATCCTGCACGCGTACCTATGGCCTCCAAGCTCTTACCCGCTTCACACGTGTCTACAAGCAAGATAATCCTGCACGCGTACCTATGGCCTCCAAGCTCTTACCCGCTTCACACGTGTCTACAAGCAAGATAATCCTGCACGCGTACCTATGGCCTCCAAGCTCTTACCCGCTTCACACGTGTCTACAAGCAAGATAATCCTGCACGCGTACCTATGGCCTCCAAGCTCTTACCCGCTTCACACGTGTCTACAAGCAAGATAATCCTGCACGCGTACCTATGGCCTCCAAGCTCTTACCCGCTTCACACGTGTCTACAAGCAAGATAATCCTGCACGCGTACCTATGGCCTCCAAGCTCTTACCCGCTTCACACGTGTCTACAAGCAAGATAATCCTGCACGCGTACCTATGGCCTCCAAGCTCTTACCCGCTTCACACGTGTCTACAAGCAAGATAATCCTGCACGCGTACCTATGGCCTCCAAGCTCTTACCCGCTTCACACGTGTCTACAAGCAAGATAATCCTGCACGCGTACCTATGGCCTCCAAGCTCTTACCCGCTTCACACGTGTCTACAAGCAAGATAATCCTGCACGCGTACCTATGGCCTCCAAGCTCTTACCCGCTTCACACGTGTCTACAAGCAAGATAATCCTGCACGCGTACCTATGGCCTCCAAGCTCTTACCCGCTTCACACGTGTCTACAAGCAAGATAATCCTGCACGCGTACCTATGGCCTCCAAGCTCTTACCCGCTTCACACGTGTCTACAAGCAAGATAATCCTGCACGCGTACCTATGGCCTCCAAGCTCTTACCCGCTTCACACGTGTCTACAAGCAAGATAATCCTGCACGCGTACCTATGGCCTCCAAGCTCTTACCCGCTTCACACGTGTCTACAAGCAAGATAATCCTGCACGCGTACCTATGGCCTCCAAGCTCTTACCCGCTTCACACGTGTCTACAAGCAAGATAATCCTGCACGCGTACCTATGGCCTCCAAGCTCTTACCCGCTTCACACGTGTCTACAAGCAAGATAATCCTGCACGCGTACCTATGGCCTCCAAGCTCTTACCCGCTTCACACGTGTCTACAAGCAAGATAATCCTGCACGCGTACCTATGGCCTCCAAGCTCTTACCCGCTTCACACGTGTCTACAAGCAAGATAATCCTGCACGCGTACCTATGGCCTCCAAGCTCTTACCCGCTTCACACGTGTCTACAAGCAAGATAATCCTGCACGCGTACCTATGGCCTCCAAGCTCTTACCCGCTTCACACGTGTCTACAAGCAAGATAATCCTGCACGCGTACCTATGGCCTCCAAGCTCTTACCCGCTTCACACGTGTCTACAAGCAAGATAATCCTGCACGCGTACCTATGGCCTCCAAGCTCTTACCCGCTTCACACGTGTCTACAAGCAAGATAATCCTGCACGCGTACCTATGGCCTCCAAGCTCTTACCCGCTTCACACGTGTCTACAAGCAAGATAATCCTGCACGCGTACCTATGGCCTCCAAGCTCTTACCCGCTTCACACGTGTCTACAAGCAAGATAATCCTGCACGCGTACCTATGGCCTCCAAGCTCTTACCCGCTTCACACGTGTCTACAAGCAAGATAATCCTGCACGCGTACCTATGGCCTCCAAGCTCTTACCCGCTTCACACGTGTCTACAAGCAAGATAATCCTGCACGCGTACCTATGGCCTCCAAGCTCTTACCCGCTTCACACGTGTCTACAAGCAAGATAATCCTGCACGCGTACCTATGGCCTCCAAGCTCTTACCCGCTTCACACGTGTCTACAAGCAAGATAATCCTGCACGCGTACCTATGGCCTCCAAGCTCTTACCCGCTTCACACGTGTCTACAAGCAAGATAATCCTGCACGCGTACCTATGGCCTCCAAGCTCTTACCCGCTTCACACGTGTCTACAAGCAAGATAATCCTGCACGCGTACCTATGGCCTCCAAGCTCTTACCCGCTTCACACGTGTCTACAAGCAAGATAATCCTGCACGCGTACCTATGGCCTCCAAGCTCTTACCCGCTTCACACGTGTCTACAAGCAAGATAATCCTGCACGCGTACCTATGGCCTCCAAGCTCTTACCCGCTTCACACGTGTCTACAAGCAAGATAATCCTGCACGCGTACCTATGGCCTCCAAGCTCTTACCCGCTTCACACGTGTCTACAAGCAAGATAATCCTGCACGCGTACCTATGGCCTCCAAGCTCTTACCCGCTTCACACGTGTCTACAAGCAAGATAATCCTGCACGCGTACCTATGGCCTCCAAGCTCTTACCCGCTTCACACGTGTCTACAAGCAAGATAATCCTGCACGCGTACCTATGGCCTCCAAGCTCTTACCCGCTTCACACGTGTCTACAAGCAAGATAATCCTGCACGCGTACCTATGGCCTCCAAGCTCTTACCCGCTTCACACGTGTCTACAAGCAAGATAATCCTGCACGCGTACCTATGGCCTCCAAGCTCTTACCCGCTTCACACGTGTCTACAAGCAAGATAATCCTGCACGCGTACCTATGGCCTCCAAGCTCTTACCCGCTTCACACGTGTCTACAAGCAAGATAATCCTGCACGCGTACCTATGGCCTCCAAGCTCTTACCCGCTTCACACGTGTCTACAAGCAAGATAATCCTGCACGCGTACCTACGGGTCTCCAAGCTTTTAACCGCTTCACACGTGTATACGAGCAAGAAAACTATGGCCATATGTCCGCAAAAACACTATGATAAAACATTACGATTGCAAAAATATTATATGTATAGTTCTTAATTATATTTTAATTATGTAACTTATCTCGTTTAAAATCTTTATCTTCTATTGTATCTTATGTTTTATATTATTATATTAGGGTATATTGTCAAAAATCCAACACTGCACTGAATTATACAGTATGCAATTCAATAGTTTAAGAACACGTTAATTACGTACACGTATTTGTCTGATGATGGCTTTCTAAAACGCTGAAACGCCAAATACTGTTAAACATCAACTGTTTTGTTGTGTTGTGACGGACTCTAATAAAGAAATGTATATATTTAATACAATAGGATGCATCCAGTGAAAAAAATACTCTGCTATAAGCTGGAAGGTCCAGGGTTCAATTCCCGATGAGGTCACTGCATTTTTCAATTTACCTAATCCTTCCAGCCACATTATGGCCCTGGGGTCGACTCAGCCTCTAACAGAAATGAGTATCAGGAATATTCTTGGGGGTAAAGGAAGGGCGGCCGGCCGGCGCGTAAGGCTCACAACCTCAACGTCATCTGTGAGCCGATTGTCTAGAAAATGTGGGAGTCTCGACGTCTCAAAGCCCTATGGGCCTCCACGGCCTGTTACAAGGGATTGCTTTACCTTTCTTCATGAGACTTATGAGATCACCTCGCTGTCCGTCTCTCTGTCTGTGCATCAACCCCCTATAATTTTTAGGCTTATGAGATCACCTTGCTGTCTGTGTGCCCCCCCCCCAATTTTTTCGTTTTCAATGATGTATTTGTCGTATCAAAGAAAAGTAGGCGATTAGTTCTTCCCAGAACTTTTTGTTCTTATATTATTTTCGTCTTTCTTTTCACCTTTTCGTCTTTCATTCTTCTCTTACTTGTTTCTCTTTTCTTCTATACACCTCGTCTTCTTTCAGATCCCCGTGTACCGCGGCGCCTCGCGATCTCTCCTGGTAACTCCGCCTATAGACGACTTCTATGGGAAAGACGGGTTAGGGGACTTCGTGTACCCTGACCCGCCCAACCCCGCCGAATACCTGAAGAAGGAACACGCGGCCGTCGCGCTGGTACGGCTCGCCTCGCAATATCCAAGTATGTCTGATGTTGCTTCTGTCCATATTGAGGCCACAGAAAGTATTCCCACGAATCAACCCTCTCCATTATTCACTCCTTCCCACCGCGGCCTCCCGGGTTCGATTTCAAGTCATGTCATGTGGGATTTGCGGTGGACAAAGTGGCACTGAGACTGGATACCTCCCAGTACTTCGGTTTTCCCTGCCATTCTCATTCCACAAACTGTTCCATATCCTTTAATATTCCTAACATCCGATGCTATACTTGTTCTCGATACTGACAGCGTAGTTAAATAACAAACTAAAAAGATTTCCCTCGAGCTGTTATGCTTCCCCATCTAGCGTAATTCCCTTCACTCCCCTCCAGTCGTGTAGCCATTCTCTTCACACGAATGTTGGTAGTGGTTGACATAGGCCAGAGGGCGCTGGAAGGAAATACAGTCGGATGCAGAGAGGGGAAAGTCTCGAGCAATGGCATCCACGGGACTTCCTTCCGTGGCCTCAATATAGGGGTCAGAGTAGCAAAACTGGTTACGGAACTGGAGACCGAGGTTCGCTTCTGGATAGCGCGGTGAAAACCTTACCTTGCAGATGCACGTCCAAAACGGTTCGGTGTTCATTCGAACTATTCAAATGCATGGGAATGAACGGAACTGCGTGTCCACCTTAACACTGTGAACTCCGATGTACATCTGAATAGTATTCATGTATTCAGTTCCTACCTCAGAGAAAACGGGCACTGTCTGTATTACAAAGGCCTGCCAATCAATACTGTTTAGAGAAAAAAATCTCTTTATTTTGAGAATCATACGAAATAGGCCTACAGAAGTACACAGTGTGGGCCAAACGCAGGAGGTACATATAATTGCCACTGCTATAAGAAGGGACAGAGCTAGGGAGCAACGGACACCGTTCAGAAACCAAATATTTGGTTTTGTTATGATATATTTAGGCCCTTACAGAGCCATAACATAAATGTGAAGCAATGAAACCTAGGGTTCTCATGGAGGTGAATATTGTGGCGCTGGGGCAGGTTTTCCCCGAGTACTTCGGTTTCCCCTGCCAATCTTCATTCCACCAATTGCTCCACAATCACCCTCACCTATCATCTGGGGCTGGTACGATAGGCCAGAAGTGGCCGCAGTACAAGGGACTTAGTCCCACCCCACTTACTTACTTACTTACTCACTCATGGAGCTGAACCCTTCTTGAGGAGCCGCCAATTCTGCAGCCACTCATGAATTTCCCAGCATTTTATGGAACCCGAAGGTTCATCACCGTGTTCACAAGAGCCCTCCACTGGTCCATATCCTGAGCCAGATCTATCCAATCCATCCCATCCCATCCTATCTCTCTAAGATCCATTCAAATATTGTCCACCCACCTACGCCTTGGTCTTCCCTGTGGTCTCTTTCCTTCTGGCTTTCCCACCAATATCCTATACGCATTCCTCATCTTCCCCATTCGTGCTACATGCCCTGCCCACCGCATCCTCCTTGACTTGATCATTTTAATTATACTTGGAGAAGAGTACAAGTTATGAAGCTCCTCATTATGCAGTTTTCTCCAACCTCCTGTCACTTCATCTCTCTTTGGTCCAAATATTCTCCTCAACACCCTGTTCTCAAACACCCTCAGTCTATGTTCCTCCTTTAATTCCAGAGACCCCACTAGCAATAAAAAAAAATTGCGTTCTTCTGGGATGTGACGTCGTGTAGTTTGGTATATAGGTACCAACGTTTTATAAGAACCTCCAGCCTCCATCATCATAATACAAGTTTGCTTTCTACTTTAACGAAGGAGGCTTCAGATTCCTCCGAAACGTCGGTGCCTCTCTACGGTCCGTGTTTTTAGATCTGCCCGTTCTCAACAGAATGCGCAGTAGATCTGGTCCAGTCCATTAACTGAGATGAGGACTGTGGTGTATCAGGGCATTAGTTACAGTGCGTCACAATCCCCCCACAGTGTATCTGCAACTACGCACCGTGTATGGTTGTGTATAGTCCCCTCCACAGTGTAGCTGCAACTACGCACAGTGTATGGTTGTGTATACTCCCGCCCACAGTGTACCTGCAACTACGCACAGTGTATGGTTGTGTATACTCCCCCACACAGTGTAGCTGCAACTACGCACCGTGTATGGTTGTGTATACTCCATCTACTATGGGAATCAAGGCACGTCATAATCCGTTACGCAGACCGTTACGTCATCGTTAAGAAGCTGCATATTTTGGACTGTGAACTTTCGGTATTCACAAGCAGCTGGGAAATTCATACCTAGCCACACAGGAATTTTCTTCCGTAAGGTTGCCTACATACGCTGTGGCGTACTCTGGTTCGTACAGTGGATAGACTGTATATACACTGCCTATATGACTGACTTCCTGACTTTTTCAGAACAAATCACGCTCCTGTGTCTCGGTCCGCTGACAAACGTGGCTCTTGCTATCCGCCTGGACCCCTTCTTCGTCACGAACCTAAAACAAGTTGTTGTACTTGGTGGGAGCACGGAAGTTAAGTATTTATACACCCGGTTTCACCTGTTGTAATAACAGACTCCTTTAACCATTCAATTGGCTAAATCTTATGTTGAATTGTTATGTTATGATTCCTTTATCATTTTAATGCAATTATTGTAGCATTACAGGCAGCCCCCCCCCCTCAAGAATAGTTGCATTCCTGGAGAAATTTCGTAAAGAATTTTGTAGTGCGAATAGCTTTTTTCCCATACTCTTCAATGTTATAATTCGAGGTTATTTTCTCGAGCGACAAAAAAAATTATTTTCATAACCGGAGCATATAAAAATCGGAAACAGATTTAACCTTCATAGTATGAATCCTGTTTATATCATACGAAAGATATATAATGGGACTGTCCCATATCTTTCGTATTAGATTATACTAAAACTATTGGAGACCCTATTATGCTGTAAAATATTAATACAGATTGTTAAAATTAATTTTGAAAAGATCAATCCTGTACAAGATGCTCACTAGAACCGACTGGACCAAGCTGAGTTCATTTGTTTCCATTTTCGTTCGCACGTGCTCGTTTTTGTTTCGATGTGAATTCGAACGAGCGAGTTCGCCTTCAGATGACAAACCAAGCCGAGGGTATGCGCTTAATTATGAAAGTTCGTATGAGCGAATTTTCGCAGTGAGAGTCATCGTAAAATGAGGATTCTCCGTACCTAATTTGCTATACGGAGGTAGACGAAATAGAGTAAACAATTCCTAAAGAATAGTTCGAAAAAATATATAGAAATATGATTTCAATGGCGGAATTATGTCCTGCCAGAGCGTTGACTAGGAACCAATAATGATGGATAGCAGTTTTTTCTCACGGACACAAATGAGTAAGTACTCGTACATTCAACGGGTGTCACATTTGTATTAGAATAAAAAAATTGTCGATAAGACTATTAACATAAAGACAATTTATTCATACAATACTTTTTTCCTCCTTCTTATTGAAACCCAAAATTTGGCGCTGTAATCTCATTCTGATGTTGATAAGTCTCGTAGGAAAGCAATTTACAAATCTGACTCTATAAGTCTTTTTTTTTTCTTTTTTGGAAATAATAAACCAGCTAAATCGTGTTTCTGTATCAGTTTGTTCTGTTTCCTTGTCTCCAGGATTTGGTAACGTAATGCCTGGAATAGAGTTCAATTTCTATGCGGACCCAGAAGCCAGCTTCATTCTTTTCGACTCGGTGAATGCAAGTGACAGTAACATGAACCCCATACTTCTGTTTCCATGGGAGTCAGTTGTGAAACGTAACACTATACTTAGGGTAAGATATGGTCTATTTATATGCATTTTCCTCATAGAACATCTCTGAGACCAAAGGGCAAGAAAACTTATGGGGGTGGGGAACCTCTGTTCAATGAGATCTCTGGTAAACGAGATTTTAATTCCTGTCATAAGTTTAAAACGAAATTTAATGACTTACTAATGATAGCATAACGATCTACGTCGTCATATGATAAGTCACTGTAAAATAAATTCTAAAGACACTTATAACGAAGTCAATTACCGACCGTGCTTAGGATTCTATTAGGAATTTACCAAATCAAGATAAATTTTATTTTATAAAAATAGGGATCTACTTGGAAATTATTCCTAAAACGAATCGCTGTTCCAGTACCTAAAATAAAAGCTAAAGTTATCCCGTCACAGGCCACACGGGGTTGTGAGACGTCGAGGCTCCCACACTTTCTAGACAATCGGCTCACAGATGGCGGTGAAGTTGTGAGCCTTATGCGCCAGCCGGCCGCCCTTTACTCCCAGGAATATTCCTGGTACTCATTTCTGTTAGAGGCTTAGTCGATCCCAGGGCCATAGTGCGGCTGGAAGGATTACGTCAATTGACATATCCAGTGACTTCATCGGGAATCGAACCCGAGAACTTCCGGCTTATAGCTTAGTGCCTCAACCAATTGTGGTACCTCGTGCCCCCATTTCAGTACCTAAAGAGACAGAAACTGTTTGCGTCACTCTCTGATGGCATAAGAGCAAATATATCATAGAAACAGTTTTAACAGTGAAATGTCCATTCAAAATTAAAACGTAAAATTTGACAATTCTCTCTCTAGATACGGTTTTCACAGATAACATTTCAACTGATCCACGTTGTACACTACATTAACAACAACAACAACAACAACAACAACAACAACAACAACAATAATAATAATAATAATAATAATAATAATAATAATAAACAGCAGATATGTGTGGCTACAAACCTATGCAATAGACACGTTAGCTTTACGGGTTCTGCTAGGAGTTCCTTGTTATATTGCAAAAAACATATTCAGGCATACAGTAAAAGCTAAAGCTATCCCTGTAACAAGCATCGCAGGCCCATAGGGTTGTGAGACGTCGAGGCTCCCACATTTTCTCTAGACAGCCTGCTCACAGATGGCGGTGAGGTTGTCAGCCTTACGCGCCGGCCGCCCTTTACCTCAAGGAAGTTTCCTGATACTCATTTCTGTTAGAGGCTTAGTCGACCGCAGGACCGGCAGGAAGGATTAGATAAATTGAAAAATCCACCTCATCTGGACTCAAACCCGCGACCTTCCGGCTTGTATAATGTCTCAACCAACTACGCTACCGCGTGCCCCCGTTCAGGCATACAGTACTTACGTAAGTAGTGTCTAAACACACAAGCAAAGCAACAAAATATCCAGTCTAACAGCGTGCAAAAATCTACAAGACCCTCTAACTATGTAACATGTATATAATAACGCTACATCGGCATGTATATGAGCTGTGTAAAGAAAGCACAAAATACCCACGCCGCAACAAAGAAATGCAGCGCAAAATAGCCAGCATCTGCAAATGTACTCTTTTTTTTTTTCTTGGCACTACAGCCCCAGTGGGCCTAGGCCTACCTCCATGAACTCCGTTCACTTCGGTTTTTCTATACGGTAGGACTCCTTGGGCGAGTGATCAGCTCGTCGTAAGGCCTCTACCTGTAGACAAACACAGAAAAACGCACACAAACATCCATGCCCTGAGTGGGATTCGAACCCACGATCCCGGCTTCCGAGCGAGCGAAGACAGTGCATGCCTTAGACCGCTCGGCTACCGTGACCGGCGAATGTACTCTTAGATAAATATATTAAAATGAATAGCTGGTGACTACAATAAGCAATAACATTTAAGAAGTTCAATTTTAATTTTTAATGATAATCATAATTCTAATTTTATGTTTTAATTAATAATCAGCATCGCGTTCACGCGCGATATGTAATTTTTACATAGAGTTGAACAGTTTAGGCAAAGTAGACATGCATCTGATGATCGTGTACGGCAGAAACATGCGGTGACAGAGAAGTAGCACAAGACACTAAGTTGCATTTGAGACGTAAATACAACGTGAAGACTGCACTTAATGTATGGACACATATGTGTACTGTACCATTTGTTACAGACTGGGGACTGGTCCTTGGAAGATCCAAGGCTGTTTACCGCTTCATGAGACAGGAAAGACTGTTGTAAGATTTGAGGTTTTCACGGCGGTGACTATGAAGAAAGCAGTTTTCTGGGATGTGGCTCCGTGTAGAAGAAGAAGAAGAAAATCCGCGAGCGAACCTGCTCACGCTGGTTTCTTCTTTTTTTTTCTACCCTGAAGATGGAGCCGATAGGTTCCTCCGAAACGTCAGTTGACACAATATCTACACAATGCCACATCCCAGAAGACCGCTTTCTTCAGAAAAGACTGTTTGATCACAAATTTATTTTCTAGCAATGGCGCAAGGAAGTGCTGGGCTCCGTGAGCAGCCAACAAATACGCTTTCTCAACCTCGCTGAAAGAGGGAATCTGGATGATAGCAAAGAAGCAGACTGGCACTGCGCCGACGCTCTGGTCACAGCGGTCACCCTTGACCCCAGTCTGATGGGTCAGACTTCGGACTGCTACAACGCAATGCCTGAAGTACAAGGCCTGAGGGCAAGGGGATCTCTCTTCGTGGACTACAACAGCTTGCTCAAAGACGCGCCATGTAATGTCGTAATTGTGGAGAAAGTGGATATATTGCGCTACAAGAGAATGCTTCTCAGCTTACTCGCTTAGACCCCGAGTGTAACTGGTAGTGCTCATATGGCATTTGCAGTTTGTGGTGGGAGTTACTGAAACGGAGTTCCTTGCATTCAAAATGAGGCTGAAAGTCATAATGAATTAATGAGTAGGATAAATATTCTAGTGCAGTATCTCTCCGATGCTAAAATGAAATAAAATGTATTAATTTGTACAGTTTTGTACCTATACATCTTTTGTTTTCATCACGGTTTCCGTTATTTTTAAGATCTTTCCAGAATGTTCTAAAGCAGGTCTCTTTCCAATGTGAAGTTTCTGTCTCGAATGCTGTTTTCCAACGAATATATAAAGCCCGCGAATTTTCTAAGACAGTTATCTCAGAAATATTAAACAGATATTTTCTATATTGCATTGTTTATTTCGTGTACAAAAATATTTATTGTCTTGTTTTTCTGTAAAAGCATAAACTTCGTTTTAACAGACTTTAAAAATTATCCAGTTGTTTGGAGATAATGCAACGGCCGCGCCATAGCTCAAGCGGTTAGCCGCTGGCTTCCCACCGCGGCGGCCCGTGTTCGATCCCGGGACTGGTTAAGTGGGATTTGTGGTGGATAAAGTGGCGCTGGGGCGGGTTTTCTCTGAGTACTTCGGTTTCCCCTGCCAATCTTCATTCCACCAAATTCTCCATCATCATAATCACCCGGGGCAGGTACAATAGGCCAATCAGTGGCCGCCGTGCCGAGTGGACCCAGCTGGACTCCACTCCCCACTAAGTGAATTAATAAAATTTGGAGATAATTCAAAAGAAACTAAATTTGTATTTTAGACAGCTTTAGCGTAGCAGACGTTGGGCAAAGTACAAAAGATTTTCCTCTTTCAGAAACAGAAATTACACAGTTTCCTATGTACAGACCTATAATTAAGCCCGTCCAGTTCCGTGAGAGAAGATAACTTTCATACTCTGTAACCGGCCAAGTGCCCGGCCAGAGATGAAACACCAGAGAATGATAATGTAATCCATGGTCAAGGTTATGGCACAACTCATGAAGGCGGTGATATACGCGTATCGAACGATTGAACAGTTTTAGGTGGTTCTTTAACGACGCTTTGGCGGAAGCAGGAGAAAACAGAAGAAGTGGAAGTGAAACCTGTTCCAGGACCACTTCGTCCATCATGAATATCACATGCAAGTCAATCAGATTTGAATTCGGGCCTCCGAGGAGCGAAACAGGTGTCCAGGGTCTGATTCACACCACAGTCAGTTTTGAGCATTACAGGCTACCTTATTCCGTGGCATTAGACGCTAAACCAGCACGACTTTGTGTACGTGATCCATCCTCGTGACGCTTCTCCAAGACGGCTCTATTATAGGGTTATGTTTCATACTCGTATACTTGTAACAGGCATTCCAAACATGAACACAGAAGGGGGGAAACCATATATGTCCTCCCCCTCGATTTTTGGGAAGGAAAAAAATTGAATAAAGAATGAAATGCACCAAAATTAAAAGCCATTTCAGAAGTAGTCTTCTATCCTGCATAATCTAGGATAGGGGTTCTCAGACTGTGGACTGTATGGGAAGTCGTTAGGATCTCAAGAACCGTGTTCAATAAAATATTGTAGTATCCGTGCATATTTTTGGCAACTCAGTAAGTCAGCAAGATTAAATAGGGACGATTTTGGAAAGTACAGCTGCAGCCAGCGAAACGTTTCGCAAAAGTTTCGTGACTGCACAGCAACATTTCATAGCTTACAGCAGGTGCAGAGGGGCTGTAAAGCTGTTTAGATTCCTGTTGTCACCGTACAGTCTGATAGGGACCTGCAACAATGTGCATAACTGCACTTTTCGTGACTGTACAGGGATATTTTATAGCCTACTGTAGGTGTGGAGAGGCTGTAAAGCTATTTAGGTTCCTGCTGTCACCGTACAGTCTGATAGGGACCTGCAGCAGTGTGCAGAACTGCACTTTTCGTGACTGTATAGGAACATTCTATAGCTTACTGCAGGCGTAGAGAGGATGTAAAGCTATTTAAGATCCAGCTGTCTCGGTACAGGCTGATAGGGACCTGCAACAATGTGTAGAACTGAAAATTTTCGCAGCCCGGCAAAAATGAGGGGTGTTTGCATATATTAATGCATGGTTTTCAGGGGCTGCACTATCCCAGAATTGGAGAATCTCTGCTCTAGGGACATCATTAAAAGTAGTCTTAATGAAAGGAAAGTATGAGATAAAATTTTCTGGCTATAACCCCCCCCCGAAAGAACCCTGGAAAAATCCCACGCTTCTAACAATATTTTGCACTTGTTTAAGTGTTTCTCGCCCCATTAGAGCTACACGTCACACCAAAGTCACATTCTTACCGAGCAATTTGGCTCAAGAAATAATGTGTTTTGTAGTATTTGGACAGAATGCGAAGTACATAATATAGCACAGTATTCGATGTGGGACCCAGCTAGTTAATACGTAATTCTATTATGAAATAAGTAAGTAACTTTACCGGTAATCTTCCACACAGTGAGGATATTTCCGTACATTGTGTTGGTATTCCCAGTTCTGCTTTAAGTATTGTAACACACACAACACACGTGATACAGCAACTGCCAACAATAATTGTATATTTACGTTGACTAGATTCACGCTAGTCCACCACTAGAGTCCGCGTAGCACTAGCTCACAGTCTGTTTTGACTTCTATCGCAGTACGCTAAATGTACGGTACACAGTCCGTAACGGAACCTTGAGAACGCTTTGGGCCATCCTTTGAAATTAGAACACAGAAAATAAAAATATCCACAGCGGCGTGTAACTAGTCTGTCGCTGCAGAGAGAGCCAATGTCGACTCACACTTCGACCTCCTTCAAATATGCAAAATCTTCAAGGTTATTTACTGGCATTATATCAACTACTAAAATTATTGTTAACAGAAGAGCACAACACATTTACATTTTTTCGATACCGTGTACAGAATGAGCTCTGTTTTTTTATTAAAGTGGGTATGCTGTTTACAAAAAGTATAGTCACAATTGTAATAGGCTCAGTTCCCTTTATCGTCCTTGTCTATATGAATACACGCTGTATGGATGTACACTGCTCATTATGTAATGCGAATAAACTCTTATTCACTAAGTGAACAGCAGTTTCTCGCACGAAGGCTGCCGAAAGCTATATGCAGGTTGATCTACCGGTAACGGTGATACTTTCATTCAGGACGTGCCTGGGTCGAATCTCGGCCTGGACACTGGTTATTCTGACTGACGTTTTTAGTGGCATTCCACAACCCCTCCGGGCGAACACTGGGGTAGTACTTGAAATAAGCAATGACCGCTTCCCTCCACACTCTTCCCAATTCATCCAACCATTCCACGTCACATAATCTGACCTACTGACCGTATCATTAAACTGTAAGCACCACGCTACGAAGACGTACGGAGGAGTGGAGGTATAGTTACATAAATTCTTAATCTCAACACTATATGGAGATCACTGGTCAGTTTAACGCCCTGGCCGCTTTATTCACGGGTGATGACCCCGCGGTACGCATTGAAGAGATGGGCTTCCCCAGAACCGGCCTGGAAGTTGTGGAGAAAAGCTTCTGCTCCTGCCGGGAATCGAACACGGATTCTTCTGCCGACAAATCCGTAGACTAGCCGCTAAATCGACTGAGCGATCGCAACTCCCATCATTAAATAAACAGAACCCACACACTGGTTACACAACCCCAGACCTACGTAGAACACACGAACATGGTAAAGGTCTGGTCTCGCCTACTTCAGGGGCCTGACCGCTGACACTACATGCACAGTCACGTACAAGCACGTCAACTGAGGCAGCGCTTGCTACTGCGTAGGTCTAACTGCAAGGCAAACGTGTCGCAAGGAATAGAGCGCGCCCGAAACCCGCACTGTGTATGTGGCATTCTTACAAACTGACTGCTAATGACGTACATAGCCGTGCTAATGTGTGCCAGCGCAGTTTCTTTCGTGTCGAAGTACTGAATTCGGTAAAAAAAAAAAACACGACGACTGGAATCTCTTTGTTATTGGCTTACGTAACTAACATTCGATATGAGATACACGTATCTACGTATATTATACAGGGTGATTCATATAGAACCGGCCCGACGAAATGAGGTGTAATATAAAATATACCATACAGATATGAAAGTAATTTACACATATCTTATCTTGGATTGTGTGCCGTGATCAGAGCAGGTGTTGAAAGTGTCCGCCGTTTTCAAGTAGGCACTAGAAATACTCGCTGTTCAACAGTGTACTCCATGACTGTCGCCTGCGCACTGCAGACACGTTTCGGCATTGTCCTTGACCTTGCAGCATAAGGGCTGCCACTTGCCGGATCATGCGCACACCATTCGACTCAGCACGGCCCACGGATTATTATGTCGTAATTGTGAGCGGTTATATGCATCACCTGCGGAATTATTAGCACATTCATCGGGCCGGTTCTATACGATTCACTCTGTACTTAAGAATGCCGGCGCGGGGAGGGGAAGCCAAGCATTTTTTTTCCCCTGGCACTACAGCCCCAGTGGGCCTAGGCCTACCTCCATGAACTTCGCCGTTCACATCGGTGTTTCTAGATCTTAGACATACGGTAGGACTCCATGGGCGGGTGATCAGCTCGTCGCCAGGCCTCTACCTGTACACAAACACAGAAAAACACACACACAAACTAAACATCCATGCCCAGAGTGGAATTCGAACCCACGATCCCGGCTTCCGAGCGAGCGAAGACAGTACACGCCTTAGACCACTCGGCTACCGTGACCGGCAAGCCAAGCATTTGCCCCCTCCAAATTTTTAAAAATAAACATTACAAAAGAAGGAAATGTATCAAATATGAATACAAAAAATGTTTTTAAAAAAACATTCTTCTGTCCTGAATACTGTAGCACAGCGTTTATCAAACTATGGTCCGCGGACCACAAGTGGTCCTCGAGGTGTGCCCTTGTGGTCCTTCAAAAAAGACAGAAGAAAAAATAAAATTCAAATGAATTGTGTATCACACTATAGCTGGAAATCTCAGAGTTAGGAAATTACGCATGGCAATCGCCTCTTCACTTCTACGTATCTGTGTGAGAAATGGTTTTCATCACTAACTCAAATAAAAACAAAGTACCGAAATCGACTCGATATATGTGACGATCTCCGACTTAAGCTTCCCAGCTACATCCAAATATAGAACAACTGTGCAACAAGCGGCAGGCTCACCCATCTCATTAATGTG